GCACGAGGCCGGCTGGCCAGTGTGGAGGCTGCCTTAGGGACAGCGGGAGCTCCCCACGCTCACGGGGCCCTTTGGGGTACCCCAAATGCCATGGGTGCCCTGGGCAGGTGCCATGGTGTCCCCCAGCAGCCCATGCTGGGCCACCCCAGGACCACCGTGTGGAGGAGCCAGCGGTGCTACTGCCGGCCGGAGCAGGTAGCCAGCAGCACCCCGAGGCCAGGCACTGCTCCCTCCTGGGGGACTCCCAATGCATTTTTGGGGTGCAAGAGCTCTCTCGAGCAGCCCCTCTCTTCGGCATTGGGCAGAGCAACCGGTGTAGTGCTGCAGGGGAGCTGCCATGCGTTTGGTGAGTACATTTAGCTCTCCTAAGGCTTCCTCCCACACTTGTCCCTCCTCGAAACACTGTCATCACCCATTCAAGCCTTCACCACGGCCCCGAGGCACTGGTGGGACACGGGCAGGTGAATCCCAGGTCCCTCCATCCCAACACCACCGCTGAAGAAGACTTCTTCCCTCGGGCGGCTGTGCCTTCAAACCGCGATTTACTCAGTGCCTCCCCAGCCGTTTCTCAGCACTGTGCCTGCGCACGGCACTGTTATCTGGGCATTTAGGATGATTTCTTGTTTGGCTCTCTCACAGTACTTTTTTTTTTCCCAGGAGAAGGGGCTGCGAGCAGGCTGCCAGGCTCCTGCCCGCAGGGAGCAGCCCCGGGCAGCGCTGCTGGCACCGTGCTGGGCACCGACAAATCCCCGGCAGCCCCGGCAGTGCCCACACCCCCAGTCCCTCGGGACCTGTCAGCCACACCAGGCTCGTGACAAATGCACACAAACACAGCCCTTGTATCGTCCCCGAGCACGAACGGAGACCCTGTATATGAATGTAGCCCCCATATCATCCCTGCGAACAAACACAGCCCCTATACCCTCCCTGCACACAAACACAGCCCGTATACCCTCCCTGTGCACAAATGCAGCCCCTACACATTCCCTGTGCATGAATTTAGCCCCCATATCATCCCTGTAAACACAGTCCCTGTACCATCCCTGCAAACAAACTCAGCCCCTATACATCCCTCTGCACAACAGCCGCCCCTATACCCTCCCTGCGAACATACAGAGCTCCTATACCACCCCCACACGTGAACGCAGCTGCTGTAATCATCCCTGCACATCGCTGCGGTCTCTATACCATCCTTGCACGTGAACACGGCCCCTGTACCATCCCTGTGCGTGAATGCAGCCCCGACACCCTCCCTGCGCACAAACACAGCCCCTACACCCTCCTCCTGCGCGGAGTGATGAGCTGTGGCTCATCGGGTGGGATGCTGTGCCTGAGGTCGAGATGGCTCCTGTCCCCCTTGGTCAAGGTCAGAGCTGCCAGCCCCCCCCAGTGACATCCCTGTCCCTGTCCCCATCTTGTCTCTGTCCCCATCAGGGTGAGCCCAGCCCCGCCCCGCTAGCGAGCGATGGCAGATTTAATTAAAAACGGCACAGTAAATAAAACACATATAGGATGTAATTTGTGTGTGTAGTGAGGGGTGACGGCGGAGGGCGTCTCCGCAGCAGTTTAATTAGCGTGCCAGGCAGCGATAGCGCCTCTCTGCCAGGTCCCACCGGGGAGACGCTCCCTGCCCACGGCTCTGCGGGGACCGGCCATGCTCGCCGGCGTCCCCAGCAGGGATGGGCACACAGGAGGCCCCGTGCCCGCACCCCAAACTCGCTCTCTGGGGTGCAGTGACTGAGCGCCCTACCCTGCACCTCGGCTTTTCGGAGCACCGTGGCGCTGCTGGGCAGGGTCTGATCCCTGCGCCCACACACCGCTGTGCCTGTGGCCATAGCCCGTTCCCCCCCTGGGATCCCCCACTGCCCCGTCCCCTCTCCAGCATCCCTCTCCGCATGGGGATGAGTCCATGGAGCACGTTAATCTCCCATTTGCTCTCATCCCACGGTGAGTGGGGTGATTTACGCGGCCGTGGCAGGGCATCAGCCGCAGCGTCGGCTGGAGAGCAGGGGTGAGGGGTAATGAATATTTCATGCCGTGCAGCCCACCCCGCTTGCTCGCCCGCCCCCCGCTCGCCCGATGTGCTTCATTAGCTGCCTGGTCTGCGCTAGCCGGGTAATAAAACTAATTGCAAATTTCTAATCCACTGCCGCTGCTGCCGCCACGGTGAAATCATCACACCGATGCAGCTCTGAGTGCGGCCGTGCCGGTAGCAACCCCGTGTACTGAGAAAGCCCCACTTGGGGCAGGAATGTGAGCTCAGCCTCCGGCACAGCTGTGACCACGCGGGAGCCCTCGGCAAGTGCCACCAAGACAAGAGGAAGCAGGGACGGTGGTGCCCTCGGCAGTGTGGGGCAACAAGGGGTGTCCCCCAACAGCAGGGTCTGGGGCTGGGCGCAGGATGCGGCCCGTGGGTGCTGGAGGATGACCTCCAGCCAGGAGCGGTCCCCAGCTCAGTGCAGAGCAGCCACTAGAGGGAAATGGAGACCGACTTGTCACCATGTGCCACCACAGCAGGGCCAGATAGGAGAGAGCTCTGGAAGCTCAGGGACTGTGTCACCTCCCAGTGGGGACTGAAAGCTGGTGTGGCACGTCCTATCCCATCCATCCGTCCATCCATCTGTCTGCCCATCCCTCCCTGCTCGCTCCCGGGCTGGCCCACCGACCCGGTCCCCCTTTCTGGGGCAGCCCGTGCCCTCTGATTGCACCGTCCGGCAATCACCCTCGCTGCTTTCCTGCAGGATTTCAGCTGCTCTTCCTCCCTTTTCATACCCTCAGCAACCCGAAAACAGCGAGGAAGCATCCCTGCTTCCCCCTCTCCCACCCCTCAGCCCCGTCTCGCTCCCTTCGACGAGCTGGGAGTTGCTGTGTCTGTAATTGCTCCTGCACAGAGCTGCTCTGTCCCTCTGATCATCTCCGGCGCCCGCTTTGAACCTCCTCGAGCTTCGCTGAGCATTTCTGCGGGGAGGATCACAGCCGTGTGGGCGCAGCCGAGCTTCACCCTGTTGCCATCATTATCAGCTCTCCTTTGCTCTCCATCCCTTCCCTAATAATCCCTAACCCCCGATTTGCCTCTTTGGCCCATGCTTGAGGGTCCCCGGGGAGGGACATGCTGTCACCTCTGTCCTGAACATGGTGACTTTGCCTTTTCTCAGTGCCGTCCTAGCATCGAGACCCAGCTGGGGCAACCCCGGGGTGGTGGTCCCTGGGGCTGCGGCACCCTGAGCCGGAGAGGTGGAGGCTGAGCCCGGCCCGGCAGCGCAGAGTGGAGCGGAGCGGGTGAGGAGGGTCACTCACAGCCTTTGTAGATGTCCGTGGGGATCTGCACGGCAGCGTACGAATAGTTAACTTTGGTCTTGAAGTTGGCATCATCGGTGAACTCCAGCTTCAAGGAGTTGGACTTCTCCCTCTCGATCTCTTCTCCGTCGGGATCATCCTGAGGGAAGGAGCAGAGCACACGGGGTCACCCACGGGTGTCAGACCTGGATGGCATGCCAGGAACGCCACCGCCCAAATCCCACCACCATATGTGCCCCTGCAGAGACCAGCAGTGCCGGCTCTCACCCCAGATTTGGCCCATAGCCCACGCCAGTCCCGGCGGCGCAGGGGAGCGGGTGCCGGGAGCCAGTGGGCAGGAAGGCGAGCACCGGTTACCCTCGCCTCTCCGGCTTTGGTAGCACGGCAGGTATTAAATCAGACAAAAAAAATACCAACCCCAAACCAAAAAAAAAAAAAAAGCCTTGAAAATCAATTAGCAGCAAAAGGCAACTATCAAAGAACAAATTAAAATGGAGCGCAGCTTAGCGCTCTGTCAATAAGCAATGCAAACAATATTTAATTATGGTGGAGAGATGGTGAATTCCCCACTGCTGGCGCTGGAACACACTCCTTCGCCTTCCCAGCCCTCCTCTCCCTTCCCGGGGCCCTGCTGCCAGTACGGTACTGGTACCAGGGGTAACACAGAGCTGGGGAAATAGCCTCCACCATCCCACCGGGAGCAAAGACACCCGGGAGACGGTGCCGGCTCCGAGCTGCCGCATCCCTGCCACGGGTCCTGTGGCCGGGGAAGGCTGTTTGCAGCTGGCTGTGAGATGCTCGGGGTCGGGAGGAGGATGCGGCAGCACCCTCCCTTTGTGCCCCCGGAGCTACATCCCCGCTGAAGAGGGGCAGAGACGCGGAGCTGCCTGCCCCATCCACGGGCAGGGACAGGCAGCACAGGCGCAGGGACGTGCCAAGCCCAAGCTGGGGCACAGGACGGCTCCGGCCACCTTCCCCTGGTTCTGGCTGCTGGAGCCAAAGGCGAAGGGGGTGTGCAGCAGCGGATTCGGCTGCCAAGCTGCCTGGCGAGGGAGCGAATTCCCCTTGAGAAGCAGCTCAGTGCCTCTCCCTTTGTGCCTCCTCCCGAGTGAAGTGCCTATCTCGGGGCCCGTGTAAGGCCGTCTGATTGCGGTGGCAGAGATCAGCCCCGCGGAAACGACAGTGGACGTGACTGGAAGCGCGAGCAGCTCCAGCCAGGGCTCGTGCGGTGCCGTGCTGGGAATGGTCGCCCTGAGGGACGCTCCATGCCATCCCGCGGCAAAGCACCCCACTCCAGCAGGGCTGAGGGGTAGGGGACGGTCCCATCCTGCTGTCCTCCGTGTCCCAGCGTCAGCAGCTCTCCCACCAGCCAGGCTCCTCGCGACAAAACCCAGGGAACAAAAGATCTGAATTTCTCATGGGAAAAGACATATATTTAAAGGAAAATGATGTGTTTGGAAAATAAACTATGAAGCCAATTTAAAACCCATCCTGGCCTCCTCCCCATTCCCTCTCTGCAGATAACACAGAGAGATGCCACCTCCCCTCCCACCAGCTCCGTCCGGCCACCAAGGCAGTGACATTTCCCTGACATTGTGAGGGGTGGCCAAACCATTTGCCACAGCTCGGGAGAATAACAGGATTGATATGCAAGGTTTGGGATTTAATTCCAGCCGATGGATTGCGAGCGTAAACACGCTGCCGAGCCGACCCTGGCGCGGGGGCTCCAGCCGCCCAGGAAGATGCTGAACTCAATTACAGCCGCAGTCGCCAAGCAGGAGGCGGGCAAGGACCGTCCCCACCTCCCCCGAGCCATGTTGCCAAGATCGAAATACAGATTACGCTCTCAATTTCATGTAAATTCAGAGAAAAGGCACAAAACCGACTGCTGGAACCCTGCAAAGCAGCGATGCTGAAGCAGAGACGGCACCCCAGCTGCGTGCTGGGCCGTGGGCTGTCTGGAGAGCAGAGCCGGCCCTGAGCCTGCCATCAATGTGGGGCTCAGCTCTCTGGGGGAAAGTGGTTGCACACACAAGAGTTTGTCCCTGCCAACCTCTCTGAGCACCAGACGGTGATTTAGAGGCGCCTGCTGAGAACAGGCTTTAGAGGAGATACAGCAGTGGCCCCGAGGGCACCTGCAGCACCAAAAACTCTGCTTTGACACTAAAACCCTTTTTTTCCTGAGCCCAGCAAAGTCCTGGGGACACCTCCCTGTCCCTCTCCATCCCAAATCGGTGGGGCACCCTGCCTGGGTCCGGCCCATCCACTGCCCCCACCACCGCCAGCAGCCGGGAAAATCCAGCCCTCCCTGTTTCCCCCAGGCTGGCATGGTTATTCCCCACTTCACCGGAGCTGGAACAACTGTATATAATTACCACTCCTCTGTTTATCATTATTCCGTTATATCACCCACTTCTGAGGGGCTAATTTGTATTCTGCCAGGTCGGGCGCTGTCTGGCTGCTCTCATTCATGTAGCTGTAAAGAGGCATATGTATAGATCTCGGAGACAAATATACAGCTATCTATACGTAGGACACTTCATGCATCACTGACACCTATATGGCAAACAGACCTGAGGAAAGAGCTGATGTTATCTGAGCTATGTTTATCCTTTATCCACAAATCTCCCGACCTCAACAGAGTTATTCCTGTTTAAGCCAGGCTGAATTTGGCCCCTGAAACGGGGTAATTTCCAGCCGGATGAAGGCAGGCAAAGCAGTCACCAGCCCAGGCAGCGATGGAAGCGTCTTGGTGCTAGGCTGGGGCTACAAGGAGCCACCTTGGGATGGCCAGAGGAAGAAATTGTGCATTAAATTTATATTAGAGCAAAGGAGAAGATGATTCAAGTTCTCCTGGATTTACACCGGTGTAACTGCGAGCATCTCAGCAGGCCCCCAGCCAGATTTTGCGGCGTTTCTCACCATCACACTTCAAAAGAACTTGGAAACATCTATTTATCTGTTACAATATGTACAGCGTAACACAAATAGATGCTACGGTTTGAATATATTATTTGCTACACACCATTAGAAATCGACTCCATGGCAATATATCAATATTATACGTATTTATTGCTTCAGCAAGAAATCATTGTGCCCTGAGAGCCTTTGCCATCTTCAGCGCTTTAGCAGCTGGGTTGCCGGTCACAACATTTTCTCTTGAGTCTCTCAAAATGACAGACAGAGGGGAAAACCCAGAGATGCCCCAACACCCAGTAAGCACCAGTGGCACCACCCAACAGCTTTACTGGGGGCTGCCACGCTCTCGGCGAGTACCTGCCCTCCATCGCCTCCAGGCCCACGGGCACAAGGACTACCAGGGGGTCCCCACCAGTGACGGGGTTTGGAGCTGCGGATGGAGCCGGGGATGTGACCTGGCGCGGCAGCGATGCCTCGGCCAGGCAGCTCCCGCGGATGCAGACACCCCCGTTCATTGCTCATCTCCATGGGAACGAGCCATCGCAGCTAATGATGACTGCTTAAATGGCAGCACCGATGACAAACGCGGGGCTGATGTGGCGAGCGGCGCAGGTGGCTGCCCTGGCATGTCGGCTGGGGTTTCGCAGCTCCGGACCAGCTGGGTAGCCACAGCCTCCTCCTGCGGTGCTCCTCCCGCTACCCCCGGCACCAGCAGAGCTCCTGCGAGCCACAGCACACCGACAGCATCCCTGCACCCCACCCCCTGCCCTTCACACGCCCAATCAAGACTATATCACACACTATCCCAACACATCCTTTTAATTTTCCCAGGAAGATGCTAAGTGTGGAAAAGACAGCGAAATATTCATATCAACACGCCGTCATTGCTACTAATAATGAATATAAATGCCAGCCCCCAGCACACGGCTGAGAAAATCCAGGCCCGTGCAATAGGGCTCTTTCTTAAATATCTCAGCTTTTCCTGAAATGCAGCAATTTAATGCCGGGGAGGGAGACAGTGTGTTCTCCAGCCACGTTCCCGCTTTTATAGCAGCCCTGGTTATAAATAACAATCAGCTTCTCCCGCCAGCCTGCTCCCCTATCCCCCTTCGCTTTTTTTAATCTTTGCCAAAGGTACTGTTTAGAGATCTTTCTAGACCATTTATTTTTAAATTACCAGCCAGAGGAGAGAAGAAGGGAAAAAAAAGAAAAAAAGAAAAAAGAAAAAAGGCAAAAGAAAGAAACTTCTGGGGCTGATAGCTTATCGGGAGGAAATCCAAATGTCACATTAGTTGAGAAAGTTGGAAGATTAAATTTTCCAACACCCTTCATCTGCTGCTGACATTTAGGGGCTTTTTTTTTTTCCCCTCCTCCCTCTCCTCGCCACATCTCCCATGCAGGGTGAGCAGCGCGGCCCCCCCTGCCTGCAGCCGGCACCGGTGCTGGGCTCTCCCCTGCGCCGCAGGGTGCTGAGGCTGGTGTGCAGCCTCCCGCCGCCGGCCCCTCGCTCCCAGGGACCTCCAGCAGGCGGGTGGGTGCCGCGGGGCTGACCTTGGGGTGAGCAGCACCTTCACCTGCAAACTGCGTGCCTACAGAGGAGGAGAAGCCATGATGTTCACTTCGGAGGGGGAAAAAAACGACACGACCCCATTTCTCCTCCTCGCATCAGCCCTGCGTCCTGCAGAGAGGATGGGGACAAGGACCAGGGCTTGCACGGATGTCCCCAGGCCCTGATGGATGCTGTACTGCCACCGGGTACATCTCTCCAACCATGGGAGGAGCAGCAACAGCGAAAACTCTCGTCCGCCACTTTACAGCCTGGGAACCAACAGCTAATGGCTGATGCAAAGCAGAACATGAAGTCCGTAACGTGGTCCTCCAGCCAGGACCTGGGCAAGGCTCCATCAGCTCCCACCAGAGAACGGCACAACCCAGGGGATTTTGGCCTCAGCTGTGACTTAAGCATCATCCCCTGCCATAAACACAGTACTAAAGATGGAAAATCACTTTATTTCTGTGTTGTTCTCCATGTGATACCCAACTAAGAGCGTCTGCTGACTTGAACGCTTGTCCCCAAATAAACCCCACAGCCCTTGCTAGCGGGGAAAGGTGAAAACTTCGCTTCTGCAAACATTTTGAGAGCCTTGGGGACCCCAGGAAAATTTTCTGATGTTCCCATTTGTTCAAAACCACTTGGAAATCCAAAATCTGTTTAGGAAGATAGCGGAGCTGAGGTGCAAGCAAAATGAATAGGAAGCTCATTTCTTTCTTGCCGTAGTTAAAGCCGGCATAAGGCTTGTGAATAAGCCCCAGTTATGTTGAATAGGCATTGTCCATCAGAACTAACTCCATTTCAGCAAGATCCTGCTCAATTTAAATATAAAAATTGAAGCTAAATAAAGAAAAGACGGAAAGAGCGCTATTTAGTTCCATTCAGACCTTCAGGTATCATCTCCCTCCTTTTTTATTTCAGCATCACCTTTTGTCTCCATTATTTTTGGCGGAATTAAATTTGCTGGGATTTCACTGGGAAGCAGCAGTGGTATTGATAGGGAAGCGCCCTCCCTGCTGAACCCACAAAGCTTGGCAAGAAGACCCCCCCCCTCTCCCCCCAATTTTGCTTGATTTTTCCCCAGAGGAGAACTGAAGTCAGTGTGGCCGATGATGGATTTGCAAGGTTGTTGCTTCCCGAGAACCTCCCCTGGGGAAGGGCCGGGGACCAGGGAGCTGAGCCCCACCGTCCCCTGGGACACCGTGCCACACCGTGGTGCGCGGTTTCTCCCCGGTGTCCCGTGTGCCAAGAGGGCTCGACGGCCACAGCTCCGAGGTCGAGATGCCTCCTATTTCCTAATCCTGCCTAACGTAACCAGGATGCTCTCCTCGCTTGTAGAAATATCTAATCCCAAAGCTATCGGCCAGGAGTTGCCAGCTCAGTTTGCTGCTGACACCAGCTGGGCATGGGCAACCAGGACCGGTCAGGATAGCACCAGGCATGGGGATGTCCAGCTTCCCTGTCCCCTGCCCGCGGCAGTGACGACAAAAGCCCTGCCCAGCCCGACGGATGCATCAGTCCTGTTCCTCGGCCCCCTGGGCAGGGAGCTGCACTGCTCCCTGGGCCATCTCCTGCTGCCAGCCAGTTTTTCCTCTGCTTCTATCCAAAATCTGCTTAAATGCATTTTAAGCCCATTAGCTCCATCCTCTCTGGAGCTGCCGTGGAGAGCAGCGCCCTCCCCTTCCTCCTTTGGCTGTCTCCCCCCAGGCTGGGGAAGGACAGGAGACATCTCCTGCTCTGAAGGAGCGGGACCCTGAGCAGGGAGACCTGCTCGGGAAAGGAAGGGCCCTCCCCTTGGGTCACAGCACCTACCCGACCTCTCCCTTCCACCTCCCGGGCTCTCTGTGGCTGCGGCTTCCCCTGCCGAGGAGCCCTCCTGCTGCCACCACCTAGGGACAATGGCACCAGAGGTTTGACAGTAACTGCGTTGAAGGCATCCATCCACCGCTCCAGCCTGCCCCCGGCTCTGCTCTGGGGCATCACCTCCACGGCGGGGTGAGGGCAGAGCTGGAGCTCGGCACAGGGTGCAGCGCCCGAGCTGGTGGCACCCCATCAAGCCCGCATCCTCCCCTCCCCTCTCCACAGGGCCTTCTGAAGGCTTGTGGGGTCACCTGAGCGTTATTTTTGGATGAAGCCATGTGGTTTGCAAGCAGTTTGCTGCCAACACCAAATGCCGCCGCTCCTCTCCTCCTGCTGTGGCACCATCCCCAATGGCACAGTTGCTGCCAGAGCTGCCTCGGAGCAAGGACCAGTCCTGGGGCACCAGTGCTGGCTGGGATTGTCCCCAAGTCCCACCCCGCTCTGCTCCAGGCTCCTGGCCAGCTCCGAGGACACCGCAATGCGCCCACTCCTCAGTGGCCCTGCGCCGAGGGCATTACCAACCCGGCGAGTCCCTATTTTGGAAGGATGCCATGGCACAACGTATGAGCCAGGTGACCTTCCAGCAAAGTGGGGTGCCGCAGGGCAGCAGCCATTGCCAGCGGAGCGCCCTTCGCCCACGTCGTGGCACCTGAGTGCCGTCACCGTCACCGTGCGGAGGAGCCGGCGAATGCCAGCCCCCTCGGGAACGCCGGGAGAGCGGAGCTGTCGGGTCTGTATTTAAAGCACTGATTGCCAGAAATCACAGGACGGCTGTGCCGGGAGGGGGGCAGAGAATTAGATTCAGTCTCTAATTAAAGGTTCGCTCTTCATTTGAATTTCAGATGCCAGCTTTAATTTTAGAAACTTTTGCAGGCAGCGGAGCGACCTGCCCACCTGCCTGCTGCTGGGCCCGGCACCGGCGGACAGATGCCACCATGGCTCGGCTCGGGGGGACACGGCTGCACAGCGGGCACTCGCTGCCCTCCGCAGAGACTCGTTATGGCAGCGGTAACGAACACTGTGCCATGCCCCGCTGGTGTGGTGCTGGAACAGCCCTGGCGAGGGGCTCAGCGCTGAGCTGGGCTGGTGACTGTGCCGGTGGCACAGCGGGGACGGTACTCACGTATTCGGTGTCAGCCTTGGAGTCGTAGTACTCAATGTCTTCCTCCTGCAGAGAAAAGGGAGAGCTGAGTTAGTACCAGACAAGGATGGCAGAGGGGTCCCTCCCCTTTAGTCATCCCCTTGGCACCTCCATCATACTGCTGGTAGCCACCACATCGCTGGGGACCAAGCTCTGCCCACCCCATGCTGTCCCTGGGACATGGTTGGGACCCCACATTCCCCTCGTCTGCCCTCCAAGGACCGACCATCGCCTGCCATGCTTCTCTCTGCTCATGGCTGGCGCCCACCCGCCGCCGCGCGGCACAGCCTCCACCATGGCCAAACAGCCCCGTGACGGTGCCACTGGTGTGACCACAGCCTCTGTGCTGCCACCGGGTGTGAGGCTGCACCGTGTCCCCACACCCGGGATGCTTCGGTCCTGCTGCAGGCATCAGGAGCCGCAGGAGAGCCGGGCACAGGCAGCGTGGCAGCAGCCCCATAAGTCGGCAGAGCTCCCCTCCTCACGCGGCAGAAACATGAAAAAGAGCGTCCTTGCTTCAATGGAGAAACACGTATCCTTAATTTGGGGTATTTAGAGCCTATTTAGGCAGAAAGGTCTGCTCAGATTCCTCTTCCCCGCATGTCAGGACGCGAGGCAGCTGATAAAATTCCTAAAGAGGCGATTCAGAGAGCAGCAATGCTGTCACAACAGCATTTCGTGCGCCATCAGAAGGGGTAATTAAAGGGCACTCGGAGACTCTTCTCCGCGTGCCGGGACACGAGCACGATGCAGGCGCACCGGCAGCCGTGGCGGCGCTAACATGTCTGCCACTCAATCAGCCGTCAGCAGCCGCCGCGCAAACCAGCCTTCCGCTCCGCACGCACGGCCAGCGCTTTGGGACGATTGTTGCTGTTATTATTCAACGAGGAAAACAATCTGGGCCCACAACAGAAACCCAGATGAAACCTTAACGGCGCCGACTGCGTCCTCCCAACTCCTGCTCTGCCGCTGCTCTGCGGCACCCAGCCTGGCCACCGGCTCACGCCAAGGCTGGTGGCACTGTGACACTCATCCCAGCCTGGCCATGGGCTTGGGCCAAGGCTGGTGGCACTGTGACACCCAGCCCAGCCTGGCCACGGGCTCGTGCCAGGGAAGGGGACCAGCAGGTCCAAGCAGCTCACTGGGCAGCCGTCCCCACCAGCTCCACCGCCCCAGCCCCACCGGGAGCTGGCAGTCCCTAACCCCTTGCCGGCGTTATCCTCTCACCACAAACCTGCTCCCTCGCGCCGTTTGCTGCTACTGCTTCCCCAGGCTGGTAAGACACCAGAGCACCAAGAGGTGGGAAAGCCCCTGGAGCAGGGATGCTGCTCTCTCAGGGGCACCGGTGACAGGGGGACGCCAGCAGGCTGCGCAGCCGATGTCCCCCCCGGCATGAGGATTGCAAAGGGCAGTTTCAGCATCCTGCTGGGCAGAGGGGACGGTCCCTCCCGTGGGCCCTGCCACTAATCACGCCGATAAGACAGCACCGAGAGGGGAAAGTGGGGAAAAAAAAAAAATCGACGCAGCATCTTCCAATTTCTGCTATTAAAAAGCCTAGTCATTAAGGGAATGTACTTATTAATTATCTGTGATTTGTTGTGAAATGCTGAGGGGTTTACAACAACAAGAAAAGGGGAAAAAAAAGATATTAATTTCTCTTCAGATGCCCTCCCCGCCCCGCTCCCGGCCCCACGCACGCCCCTGCCCCTCACCAGCACTGCCATCTCCCCGGGTCCGTGGCCATCTGCACTTCCTAATTAAAGGAACCCCCGGGAGACCCGTAACACAAACGAGCTAATTTCATGTTTAATGATCTTTAATCAGAAGTGAGTGTGACTAACAACAGCCATCCAGAAGGTGCTTTGTTATTCGTTTTGTCTCCCATTGGCTCCTCCAAAAAGCTTGAATCCCCTCCTACATGTGGTGGCCCCGTTCCTGCGGTGGGGGAGAGGGTGGCGAGGTGATGCTCGGGAAGGAGAACCAGTCCCCTGGTCCTGCTTTCACCGGCTCCAGTGCTCCAATGGCACGGCACGGGGAGCAGACCTCCTGGAAGGACGGCTCTCCCACCAGTTTCCCTAGGGATCACAGAGCGCTTCCCATGCACTTTTTCAAGCCCTGACAACCCCAGGAGCAGCCGAGTGACATCCCGGCCCCACTCCACACCGCGGCTGAGGTTTGCACATGTGAGATGGTGCGCGTGGGATGGTCAGCGTCACCGCGACCCTGGCCCCAGAACATGCCCTGATGCCAGGCTCTGCTCTCCTTGCCACGATCCCACTGATGCCGCAGGGCTTGTGGGATGCAAAGGAGCCTGCGGGAGCTGGCAGGGCATCCACATCCCTGCCATCCAGAGGCTGGGGGGGCCCGG